GGGGGGCCTTATTATCAGGGAGGCCTTATGTTTGGGGGGAGGTCTTATTTTCGGGGGATGTCTTACTTTCAGGAAAACACGTATACATATTTGTGGATATACTCCCATTCTTCCTTCCACACCTATTCAACCTGTGTTATCTATCTGTCCATTGTCTATCCATTGTAGATCACCCTGACTGCAGGATTGCGTAGATCACAGCAGTTAAGATCTGCATTCGTTTTAAGAGGAGCCTTGGTGTACTGGCTATGGATTTGGTGGCGAACTGTAAGGTTAGCAGTTCAAAACTACCAGCCGCTTCTCAAGAGAAAGACAGGGCGCACTACTACTGTAAAGAGTCACAGTGTTGGAAGCTCAGGGGCAGCTCGGGCCCATTCTATCAAGTCATTGCGAACTGGCATCCACCTGATGGCAGTGCATTTAGTTTAAGATTGAAAGTGGTGAAGACAGAGGTAGGCACCCATTAGAACAGTCAGCCCTGGGGTACTGAACAGGCAGCCTTTGCCCAGGGAGAGAGCTCAGTCGGCAGGAAGGAAGGACAAATGGGGTCAGGACACAAGGAACAAGTGAGAAAAGTGTGAACACACGGTGGGGGCTGTGGTCGGGGTCAGGAAACGAAGTGTGTGTGAGCTGCTGAGTGGCAGACTGCTCTGTAAACGTTTCACACACACACACACACACCCCAACTGTGGTGCAAATGCAACTCAGTACTCTTCAAATAACTCTAGGACATCCGCCCATCCCCACCTGCACCCCCCAGTCTGTCTGTAGACCCCACTTTAAGAAATGCTGGTGAGCACGGTCAGGTCCGGGTTCCTGTGAGCTCTGCATTGTATGGGCAAAGGCCCCCGTTAGAAAAGCAGCCTCTGCCTGTGTGGCCTCCGACTGACTCCGCCATTTGTGCCAGAAGCAGCCGGGGGAAGGCAGCAAGGCAGCCAGCGCCGACAGCACGACCGAGGGCACGCCTGCCGAGGGCTTCACCGTCCTGTCCACCAAGAGCCTCTTCCTCGGCCAGAAGGTAGGTGCACACACGGCCTGGGCTGCTCGAGGGGCCCCTGGGATGGAGGGAGGTTCCAGAGGCCACTCCTGGGCCTACTGGGAGGGGGAGGGGGCCAAGGGCTGAGGTGAGGAGTGGCCTTGGAGAGGGTTGTGGAGTTAGTGCCCAGGAGACCATGAGGCTGAGAGGAGACCTGCAGGTGGGGTGGAGGAGAGAGTGGGAACGAAGAGGGAACTAGGGCTCCCACGGTGGGGGCAGGGAGGCCCGGGAGTGAGGCTGGGGAAGGAACCGTTTACGTGGGGTAAGTTGGGCATCAGGTAGCGCCAGCCAGGAAAGCACCAGGAGTCCACGCCCTGCCCCAGAAAGTGAAAGACCCCGCCGGCAGCACACGCCTTCGGATGGGCACTGGAGACAGGACACCCTTAGCCAGGGGCGGGGTTGTACTTAGACATATTAAGTGGGTGCACCGGGGATTTTTCTCACCAAACTAGCAGACGAGTTTTCAAACCAACTGTTTGTTTGTTTTAATTTTGGGCAATATATTTTCAGCCACCCCAGTGATGCAACTTTGCCAGGACGCCATGGTTTTGTAAAAGACGATTCACTTTTGTTGGAAATAAAAATGATGCAACGGCTTTTAAGAGCTGAGAGTGACAGTTGATTCGCATTTCTCTATTAACACCAAAAAAACAACAATGAAAAACAAACAAACAAAAAATGGGGGTGGGGAGGAAGGGAAATAAAGCCTTCTTAAATTTTCTATTCTACATGCAACAGCCAAGGGCACAGATTTGGCCTTCCACGTACCTTGATTCCCCTTCCACCGCTGTAACCACTTGGTTCCGAAGCTGCATCATTTTTAACCTCACTGTCAGTTTTCTTCTGCATCACAGTGACACGGTCCTCTCCATCACAGCATTGCAAGTCCCCCGCCCTG